GAAGGCAGACAGAAAGGAAGGAAGAGTGTATACTGCATAATTCTATTTATATAAAACTCTAGAAAATACAAATTAATCTACAGTAAAAAGTTGATCAATGGAAGAGTGAGGAGGGATGAGAGGAGGAATTACAAAGAAGCATGAGGAAATTTTTGATGAATGAATCCATTAACTTGATTGTGGTGATATTTTCACTGTGTGTACATATGTTAGAACATATTAAATTGTACCTTTTAAGCATTATAGTTTATTGTATCTTAACTATTTCTCAATACACTTATTACAAAGAAAATGTTTTCCTTGAGAAGTCTTCATTGAAAATGGATAGATACTGAAGTCACTCAGTCGTGTCCGACTCTTTGTGACCCCATGGACTATGGCCTACCAGGCTCCTCCCTCCATGGGATTCTCCAGACAAGAGTACTGGAGTGGATTGCCATTTTCTTCTCCAGGGAATCTTCCCAACTCAGGGACCGAACCTGGGTCTCCCACATTCCAGGCAGACGCTTTAACCTCTGAGCCACCAGGGAAGCCCCTATCATCAATTAAAAGCACAGTAAGGATAGCATTTTCAGTGATACTTAAGCATAATGACACATGACTAGAACGAAGACAACCTCTCTCAATGATGAAAAGCTAAAAACCTTTCCTCTAAGATCACGAATAAGACAAGGATGCCCACTCTTGCCATTTCTACTCAACATGGTACTGGGAGTCCAAGTCATAGCAACTAGATGAGAAAAAATTAAATAGATAAAAGACTTCAATTAGAAAAAAAGAAGTATAATTTTACTTCTGTTTATAATTCTCTGCTTATAGATGGCATATTATTTTATATTGAAAACCCTAAAGACTTCACAATAAAAACAAACTGTTACAACTAGTGAATTAATTCATTGGAAGTGTAGGATACAAAGTCAACATATAGAAATTAGCTGTTTTCCTAAACACTAACAATGAACTACCTGAAAGAGAAATTAAGGAAGCAATCCCATTTAGAATAGCATCAAAAGCAATAAAATACTTATAAATAAACTGAACCAAGGAAGTAAAAGATTATACACTGAGAACTATGAGATATTGGTGAAAGTAACTGAAGAAGACACAAATAAATGGAAAGATATCCTGTGATCTTAGACTGAAGAATTAATACTGTGAAAATCTCCATACTACTGAAAATGATCTACAAATTCAATACAATCCCTATTAAAATTCCATTTTTCACAGAAATAGACAAAAATTATCCTAAAATTTGTATGGAGCCATAAAAGACCCCAAATAGCGAAAGTTAACCTGAGAAAGAACAAACTTGGAAGTGTCATCATTCCTGATTTTGAGCTATATACAAAGCTACAGTAATAAAAACAGTATGGTACTGGCAACAGGTACATGGAACCAGTGGAGCAGAACAAAGATTCCAGATATAAGTCATAAATATGTGCTGAACTGATTCTTGACAAGAGCACTAAGAACACACAAAGGAGAAAGATTAGTAACTTCTATAAATGATGTTGGTAAGACTGGACATCTAGATGCATAAGAAGGAAACTGGACTCTTCTCTTACACCACTCAAAAAACTGAGCTTGAAATGGGTCACAAATTTAAGTGTAAGATGAGAAACTATAAAACTCCTAGAAGAAAATATAGGGGGAAAAGATGCTTGACATTGGTCTTGCATGCATGCTTTGTCACTTCAGTCATGTTTGACTCTTTGCAACCTATGGACTATAGCCCACCAGGCTCCTCTGTCCATGGAATTCTCCAGGCAAGAATACTGCAGTGAGTTGCCATGCTCTCCTCCAGAATATCTTCCTAACCCAGGTGTCAAAGTCACGTTTCTCATCTCCTGCATTGGCAGGCATATTCTTCACCACTAGCACCACCTGGGAAGCCCAACATTGGTCTAAGCAATGGTTAATCAGATACAAGACTAAAAGCACAGCCCATAAAAGTTAAAGTAAACAAATTGGCTACATCAAACTAAAGAGCTTTGGCACAGCAAAGCAAATAATCAATAAATTGAAAAGACAACCTGAAGAATGAGAGAAAACATTAGTAAATCACATATATGATAAGGGGTTAATATCCAAAATACATATAAAAAACTCATACAACTCAACTGCAAAAATAATAATAATAATAGAATTTTAAAATGGGCAAAGGACCTGAATAGACATTTTTCCAAAAAGACATACAAATGTCCATTAGTTATATGAAAAAATGCTCTACATCATTAATCATCACCAAAATGCAAATCAAAACCACAAGATATCACTTCATACCTATGATGGCTATTATCAAAAAAGCAAAAGATAACATGTGCTAACAAGGATGTGAAGAAAAGAGAATCCTTATGTAGTGTTAGTGGGAACGTAAATTGGTATAGCCATTGCAGAAAACACTATGGAGGTTCCTAAAGATATCAAAAATCAGATGACCATATGATCTTGCAATCCCAGTCCCATATTCTCAAAGGAATTTAAACCAGTATCTTCAGAAGATATATGCACACCCATGTTCCTTTATTCCTTTCAGCATGTTCTATAATAACCAAGATATAAAAACAATCTAAAGTCTTTCAACAGATAAATGGGTTAAGAAAATGTGATTGATATATATATATATAATTAAATTTTATTCACTAATAAAAAGAAGGCAATTCTACCATTTTTGACAGCATGGATTAACCTGAAGGTCATTATGCTAAGTAAAATAAGTCAGAGAAAGACAAATATTAATACATATGTTATGTGTTAAGTATATATAAAATCTAAAAAAAAAAAAGGCAATTTCATAGAAACAGAGAATAGAATGGTGGTTTCCAAGGACTAGGGGAAAGGGTAAATGGGGTGATATAAGTCAAACTACAAATTTTCACTTACAAGAAGAATAAATTCTAATACTCTAATGTATAGCACTGTGACCACAGTTAATAGTACAATGTTATATACTTGAAAGTTGCAGAGATAGATCTTAAGCATTCTCACTTCCCACTTCCCAAAAATGTTAGGTGAGGTGACATATGTGTTAATTATCTTGATCTTGGTAATCACTTCAAAATGTATATGTATATCAAGTCATCACATTGAATACTTTAATTATACACAATTATATTTATCAGCTATTTCTCAAAAAAAATTAAAAATAAAGATACATGGCTAGAGGCAATTAAGCCAGTGCCTTTCTGATGATGGTCCTGAGCATCCTGGCTCAGTGTGCTCGTGATCACATTTATAAATTGATAAGCCTTCACAACAAAATGTAGAGAGATAGAATAATAATCATTGTGAATTCTTTCTTTCCTACTGTTTTGAATCAGCCTTCTTGATTAAATTCAAAATTACTCAAATATATGAAATCTGGAATAAATGTTAACTTACATATAAAAGCACATCTATTAGCATATTTAATCAAAATAATATTTTCCTAATATTATCATACAGAATTAAAATTAGTATTTACAAATAGTCTTTTGGAATTGGTAGTTAGGTGGGAAAAAACTAGACATGTCTCCAAATTTGTCTCAAGTTAAGTTAATAAGTTTTCTGCATTATATTTTAGGAATCAGTATAGTTGAATGAATCAAATTTGCAAAAGCTAGCCAAAAATATCATATATAAAAATTAATATACACTTTATTTAATTTGTAAAATAAATACATTAACACTACATAATTTAAATATGGTTATACACTTTCACTTAGCTTTATAAAGTATCAAAAATATCCTTTTTGAGCCAATGCAATGATCAGTGACTTCAAAAAGATACTTTCTAACACAATTGGTATCTTTACATATTATAGCAAACAATATTAACTACTAACAATTAACTGTTAATTAATAGTTAATTAACTGTTAACTATTAACTATTAACAATTAATGATCATTGACACAGTCATTTCCTAGATGTAAAACCAAATATTCAAATTAGTGCACCAAAGAAATCTGATGAATCATTATTTGATCTCTAGTCATAAAGAGAATAACTTGTTTTTCAGAGAGAATATTAGCAACTTATTTTCAAACTTAAACATTATTAAATCAATAAAGCATATAGAAATCCCAATAAATGCAATCCAATTTACACAAAAGACAAAGTAAATTTTAAAACTATTTTAACATGTATTAAGTGGCTGTTAAGTTTTTAACAGGCTTCCCTTGTGGCTCAGCTGGTAAAGAATCCACCTGCAAAGTGGGAGACCTGGGTTTAGTCCCTGGGTTGGGAAGATCCCCTGGAGAAGGAAAAGGCTACCCACTCCAGTATTCTGGCCTGGAGAATTCCATGAACTGTACAGTCCATTGGATCACAACAAGTCAGACACGATTGAGTGACTTTCACTTCCACTTCAAGTATTTAACACTGAGACGTAGGTGCTTATATTAAAATTAGAAAAACTAAAGGATAGAGATATAAGGAAAAATTCTAATACAAGTAACAATGGAAAAAAAATTCATAATACATCTTATTTCTACAGATGTCTAGTCATTGGTCCAAAATCTTTGCCATTCAAAATCTATTCTTTAGGATTTCATTTATTATGCTTATTATCCAGGAAACATGGTTAATTTCCCAAATCAACCTTAAATAATGTTTATAAAATACATATGTCATGTCACTGCCTATACCCATTTGTAGCAGCCAATCAAAAAGTATTAGGGGCACAGGTTGGAAATAATTTGTCACTACATAGGTCAGCTGTCTTATTAATAACAATAAAACCTGACATTTACATAAAGCCATCTGTACAGCAGCTTCATATCAAGACTTCAAACATTTATCTCATTAATACTTCCAATATTTCTATGCATTAGTTGGCAAATATTTTACTGGTTTATAAAGCAAAACCCTAACTCATAAAATGACATGAACCTAGTGACTATATTTTCTCACAATCCATTTCTATCCGCCAAAGCGAAGAGAAAAATATATATCTAGCATGAAAGAATTTGGCCAGGAGAGTGAAATACCCAATTGGCAATTGGGTCTTATCTATTCCCACCTTTTTATATGCGATCCAGTCAAACACCCTGTCAATATCTGTTGCCCGCAGCACTTCCTGTGATACTGGATGGGAACTGGCTAAGCCGTCAAGCAGCATCACTTCATGTAGAACATCCGTCAGAAACCTCTGTTTTTCCTGCAATACAGTAGGTGGAACAACATCACAGGTGATTCATGGTTATGACAGAATATGGGTGACAATATGAACTGAATGTGTGTTGCTGAGTTGATGGTGCTCATCAGCCGACTAGATAAGACTTAACTATAAAGAGAAACCAATAAATAAAATGCCCCTTAAGTCACTCTAAAATAAAAGTGGCTGATTTGAGCACAACATGAAACAAAACCAACTAGCTACAATAGGCCCTAAATAGATAGAAACAATGGGCTCTGTGTTTTAACAGTGGTTAAAGCAAATTTGGAGAGTGGGTACATAAATGAAACTGACTCAGCTTGCTTATGGGCTTCCCTGGTGGCTCAGATGGTAAAGAATTGGCCCACAGTGAGGGAGACCTGGGTTCAACCCCTGGGTTGGGAAGATCCCCTGGAGGAGGGCAAGGCAACCCACTCCAGCATTCTCGCCTGGAGAATCCCATGGACAGAGGGGCCTGGTGGGCTACAGTCGATGGGGTCGCAAAGAGTCAGACACGACTGAGTGACTAAGCACACACAGCCTGTTTATATGTTCTGCAAGGTCAAATCTAAAATTCCAGCCCCAAATAACCTTTCTAAAGTTAATTCAATATAAGAATAATAACTAAATCTCAGAATTCCAGTACTACTTGTTATTTCTAGTCCATTCAACAACACATTCTCTTTCTGTTCCTACCTGCATTCTCTCTGTCTCACTTATTCTCTCTCTAGTACACATATGCATACACTTATTTTCTAAAAGAACTTCAGGAGACCACCACAAATAATGAGACGAGGCACTATTGACAACAAACTGTAATATCTCGGGATGTGATACGTGAATTCAGAAAGTAGAGAGCAATAGGCATTAACAACTCATTACCATAAAAGTTGTGAAAGCAGACAAAAAATCGTGAGACCTCTGTGCATTGAGACATTAGTATTTGTTCTAAAAGCTGACTTGTTATGTTAGAAATTGAAAAAAAAAAAGAAAAGAAAAAGTGCTTCTCTGTTGTTTTTGCTTTAAGAAGTCTGCTTTAAAGAAACAGCTTGGGTTCTGTTAACAAAAATGCTGGCAGTCAGTCTGCCTAACCTACTGCCTTCATTAAGGGAGGAGGAGAGAAAAAGAAGTTGCAAGAGATAACAAGAGCTAAATAGCCCCTGGATAGTTGGGACCTGAGGAGTATCATTACAGAGATTAAAGACTGCAGCACTTTTAATTGCTCTAGCTAATTCTGAACTCATTCCTGGAGCCTCCAAATTTTGGGCCAGCAGATAAATTGCTTTATTTCTGAGTGAGCTATAATTTCAAGCTGAGACTACACCAATTCTGGATTTTAAAAATTGGAAATGGAGAATAAATATACTAAGAAAAGAATGGTTAACTAAGCATATGTGTATATTAATTTAAATCTGGCTTTATCAGCAAATGTCCTTTATAAAATAAATAAATAAATAAATAAATCTGGCTTTAAAAACATTTTTGTTCATCATTACTTGCTCAATAATTTAGTATGTTTAATCAATTTAACTAGTCATCCAAGTATCACTGTAAGGTTTATTTTCTAATAGCTCATTTTTATAGTCTGTGGACTTTATATTTAATTTCTTTGGTCCTTATTTTTCATCTAAGAATTTCACATCAGTGCTCCATAAAAAAGGGCTGTGTTGCAGTGACTGAACCAAAAGTCACTCTGAGTCTCAGAAAGATATTCAGACCCTAAGAGACTACAATAAAAAATACAAACTTATAATGAATTAAGTGACAAGTATTACACAAAATAATACTGTATTTCTTCTTAAATTGAGTTGAAATTGGACCTTGTGATTTAAAAATTTTAATTAAAAAACTGGTATTTACATTGCCCATTTTAAGTCCACAGAAAGCAAAGACAAAATCTCAGGCAAATGGCCTAGATTTAGAGGATAAGAGAGATTCATTTCCAAAACAAGAATTTTAAGTAGATAGGCAATCTTGTTACTCATTTAATTTTAGAATGCACGTTAAAGCTATTTGATACTGGAATTAATGAGGAATTATGGAATATATAATGATACTTCAACTTGACAACTGAACATATTTATTTATAAAAACCACCAACTGAAGATGTGATGTCCATTCTGAAGATCAAATAATACTCAACTCTTCAAATAATAATTGTTTGCTCCATTACATCACTCAAACATCTGATCAAAAATCACAGTGCAAAGTGGAAACCTTAACACAATGATTTATTTTAACCTTAGGTTTTAACATTTAGAAACAACAAATACATATTAGTCAATATCAAAATTTAGCAAATATAACTTGGCTTGCTGGAAATGACATTTTGTTAAATGGTATAAAGTAAATGATCATGTAATTATAAAAATGAAATCTAAGATAACGTTCAAAAAAGGAGATCCAACCAGTCCATCCTAAAGGAGGTCAGTCCTGAATATTTGTTGGAAAGACAGATGCTGAATACCTTGCTCTAATACTGCAGTACTCCAAGATTGATGCTCCAATACTTTGGCCACCTGATGCGAAGAACTGATTCACTTGAAAAGACCCTGACACTGGGAAATATTGAGGGCAGGAGAAGAAGGGGGTGACAGAGGATAAGATGGTTGGATGGCATCACCGACTTGATGGACATGAGTTTGCGCAAACTCCCGGAGTTGGTGATGGACAGGGAGCCCTGGCGTGCTGCAGTCCGGTCCGTGGGGTCGCAAAGAGTCGGACACAACTGAGTGACTGAATTGAACTGAATTGAAACTATACTTATATATTTATATAATAATAATGATATATTACTTCATGCTTCTGGAAAAAAAGAAAAACAAGTCTTTGGTCAGTGGAACTGAAAAAAGGAGGGTTTAAATTGAGCAGTGTTGAGTCATTAGCAAAAAATTCATCTCTACATTTTTGGAGAGAATGATACTGTCTGATTGAGAAAGGGGGCATTAAAAGAGATTAAGATTTTAAACTTAGTTTATTTAATCTGGAATCAAGATTTCATCTGGAATCAAGAGTGCCAGGAGAAATATCCATAACCTCAGATATGCAGATGACACCACCCTTATGACAGAAAGCGAAGAAGAACTGAAGAGCCTCTTGATGAAAATGAAAGAGGAGTGAAAAAGTTGGCTTAAAACTCAACATTCAGAAAACTAAGACCACGGCATCCAGTTCCATCATTTCATGGCAAATAGACAGGGAAACAAGGGAAACAGTGACAGACTTTATTTGGGGGGGTTCCAAAATCACTGCAGATGATGACTGCAGCCATGAAATTATAAGAAACTTGCTCCTTGGAAGAAAAGTTATGACCAAACTTGACAGCATATTAAAAAGCAGAGACATTACTTTTTCAGCAAAGTCCGTCTAGTCAAAGCTATGGTTTTTCCAGTAGTCATGTATGGATGTGAGATTTGGACTATAAAGAAAGCTGAGCACCAAAGAATTGATCCTTTTGAACTGTGATGTCAGAGAAGACTCTTGAGAGTCCCTTGGACTGCAGGGAGATCAAACCAGTCAATCTTAAAGGAAATCAGTCCTAAATATTTACTGGAAGGACTGATGCTAAACCTGAAACTTCCAATACTTTGGCCACCTGATGCAAAGAACTGACTCATTGGACAAGATCCTGATGCTGGGAAAAACTGAAGTCAGGAGGAGAAAGGGAAAACAGAGGATGAGATGGTTGGATGGCATCACTGACTCCATGGACATGAGTCTGAGCAACCTCCGGGAGTTGGTGATGGACAGGGAGGCCTGGTGTGCTGCAGTTCATGGGGTCTCAAAGGGTCGGACACAACTGAGCAGATGAACTAAACTGAAAAGAGATTAAAAGAGAGAGAAGGGAAAAAAAGGAAAAAAAATCCTAGCAAAAGACATTCACAAAGCTCAGAAGAGAGAATAACTTAAATTGAGGGGAAAAAAGGAAAATTCTAACCAGAGGCAAATGCCATTTAACAAAACTAGAAAGAGTTTCCAAGAGAGACGTGCTATTTTTTTAATAAAAGACCCATGTCACTATAAAATAAGAAATATTTTTACTTTGTCAGTTCCTGGCAAGGGCCCTCCCTCCTTCTCCTCCTTATCAATGACAAAAACAGCTACAGCAAAAATTACTAACAGCAATCAATTGCTAACTCTTTATGTGAGACTGTGAAAGTTTAAAAACAAAGGAAAAGAAATCCTGGGTCTTATGTGAAATAAAAGAACAAACAAAAGTTAGCCACAGTGAATGCAATAACAGTTTTATCTCATAGACTAGACATGCTAAAAAATTTTGAGACAAAACACAGTAAAGTATAATTACTGATGGAAAGCTTAATGGAGGATGTAGAAGTGAATATTATCCTTGAAGTAACTTTAAAGCTGTGTGCATGTGTGTGTGTTTGTGTGCAGGGAAAAATATATTCAAGGTGTATAGTCAATAGTTTTTATTTTACTCAATATTTTAAGGACACTGTGACAGCCCATTCTACAACTTTTAAAATGCAAAACAATAGGTAAATGGAGAACTTTAAAATCTATTAACAAGAAGTTTATTGTTAGCAGTAACAATAAATCCTACCATTCTGATACAGACACTTCATAGAGAGGTTACATGCATGCCTAAACTTAAGCAGTCCCAATAATACTGAATATGTGTATCAATTTGTGCTGAACTATTTTCAAAAATACATTGCGTTTGAATTTTTGGAGAACAGTGTAAAAGCCTTTTCAGAAAAGTAAAATGTGAACGAATGCACAGAGTTGAGAATAACACATGGAAAAGAAGGTCAATATTAATTTAATCATACATTCATTTAAAAAATATGTTAAATTCCTACACAATGCCAGATACTGAACTGTGTTTGGGGAATAAATATATGACTAACATCTCATCTTCAACCTTAAAGAACTCAAGACCAGAAGAGAAAATACAAGAGAAAGATAAACAGCTAACTGCATTATAGTAAGATGGGTGTTATAAAACATGAAGTATGAAATGATTAATTAGTTCAGAAAAG